ACTCACCTGATTAACTGTTTTTTCACGATCCGGGGCATGTTTTAGTGTGACAGCAATCTCTTCCACACTCTGGGATTTTTGGTGTGGGTATGACTTGCTGCAGGCATCTTGATCAAATACAGAGATCACCATTATTAAAATTAAAACTAGAAATTAGAATGACAAAGTTCTATTCTAAAAACATCAAACATTAATCATTTCTGATATGAATATATATATATATATATATATTATTTTTATATATTTATTTATTTTTTATTTTTTTTTGAGAAGAACTTACAACTTTTTACATTTAAAAGGAGGAACAACATTTACAACCTACCAAATCTTATTTACAATCCAAATAATTTGAGATCTTGAAACAGACAAATTATTAGTCATTAGTGGCAAGTTTTGAAACTTACGTATGATGACATCATTGATAAGGAGCTGCTGAAATTTAAGTTTTCCCTTTCTCCCTTTGTAACTGTAATATCCCCATAAGGAATTATCTCCAAGTTTTTTCAGCATCCTCCTAATTCCATCTCCCAAGCTGCCTCCACTCTGAAGACACAGATAACGAATCTACAAACAACAACACAAGAGCAAAATGTTTTAAATTATTATAGGTTAAAAATCACTAATGTTGCTTGTGTTTTGGCACATACCATCTTCTTTCGAAATTCAGCATCTTTCAGCTTATCACACAACTCCTCTAATTCCTCTACAGTCTTACATGGTTTCTCTAGCACCTCTGTGAGGTCAGAGACAGAGGTGCTTGGCTGGCTCATTGATTGCTGCATTGTTTCAACCGCTGATGTAATGTTGTTTTGGATTTGGTCCAGTTTCAACATGACTCTTCTTTCTAAACTCTCAAATAACTTGTAGATTTCTGTGCAGAATTTATTTTGAAACATAAATGACATTACAAACTACAGCAATAAAAAAATAACACTGCCATAAGACAACATAAGTCTGCCATAAGACAACATAATAATTGAATAATTATGATGAAATAGATTGTTACCATCTCGAATAGATTGTGGATTAATCACACTTCCTAAAACAAGTCACAAAAACATTTAGTCAGATAATGAATACATTATATGTGTGTGTGTGTTTTAGTGTACCTTGACTCTGCCAGTTGGCAGAAATTGACTGATGTGGCTGCAGTTGTGGTGTTGAAAGAGATGGAACTGTAATCACATTACAAGAAGAAAAAAAAATCATTAAATTAAAAAATTCATGAACTATTGTTAGTCCAACTGTCACACTCTTGAGCTGTACAGTGTTAAGCTGTACAGCCATAAAAACAATATTGTTTGCATGTTGTTTAAATCATGACATAATACCATTTAAAAACAATAATATTTTATGTAACATTAAAACACCTCATTGAAACAGCGTTTTGCATTTGTTTTTAATGAATAATTGATTAATTATGATGAAATTAAATAGTTACCATCTCGAAGAGATTGTGGATCAATCACACTTCCTAAAACAAGTCACAAAAACGTTTTATCAGGTAAATATCTGTATGATATATATACTGTATATATATATATATATATAT